CAGCACGACATCTCCTGCATCTGCCATTCCCTACCCCAGCTATATTTTGTGGCTTTCCAACATACCTCACCTGCAGATTCCAGATGTCCCCCCTGCACTTATACATAAGATGGCATCATGCCAATATTCCAACCCTTACACTGGCTCCCAATCCAATCCCAGATCAAGTTTACAATCATACTGTCTTCAAGATCATCCCTTGACTAGGTCCTGCCTACCATCCCCCGTTCACTCTTACTCTTCTCGGTGTGCTCCTTACTCCAGCAGCCAAGGCTTCTGTCAAAGCCCCTGATAAACCTTCATTCACTGGGAGTTTGCACGTTTTTTTCCACTTTTTGTCTTTAGTTTGTTGTCCTTCACTGGCACCTCCGATTATCACGGTTGGCTACGTACGGTGCAAAAGAAGTTCAACATAGGATGCCTTCTGGCTTTGAACGCCCGTTACCCAGCCATATATGCTGTCGACGGCCTGCCCTTGCTCAAATCCAGGCTTAAGATTTTACTTTTTTACTCTGCCTATGACTGACTGCCTCTATAAAAATAGATATGTCCACTGTGTATATATACGAGATATAAACACAAATAGTGTTGTAATGGAGGAATGTGGGCCTTTGCAGAGATATATATACAGTGTGCTCCCTTTATAGATTCTCCACTGCAATGAAAATAGATAAAACATTTGATTTCGAAGCCTCTGCAGTATTTTGCCAATATTAATACGACACTTATATTCCATTTTCTTGGGTCTTTCGGTAAAGTCACGTAGATAGGTTCAAAGAAAATAACAACATAACAATAAATGATTGCTCAGTTGGAAGGACGTTATTAACCAGTTTTAGTCATAACTGGCTGTGATGTTACCATCCTACCTTTCGATGTTAGTAGTTATCTTCGACCCTCTGGTTTTACATGAACAGGTTAAATGTCTCACACTAACACAGCCACCGTCGCTCCTGTCCTCGATGTGGTGGTGGATCTGCGATCTTACATTGACTTGCTCATCTCCCACATTGACATGCTAATCTCTCACATTGACATGCTAATCTCTCACAATGCAATGGCCACCTCCGCGCCTTCGTCGTAGTGGAGGTAGCTCTCCGATCTTACACTCACATGCAAATTTCTCACTTGAACATCACTAGCCTTGCCCACTTCGTTTATGACCCTTGGGCTACACACATTTCAAACATTAGAAACAGCTTGCCTCAGCAGCTTTCCCGCTCTTTTTTCTCCTGATGACGATTGCTTGTATTGCGATCGAAACGTCGTAGTTTGTTTTATTATTTTCTTTGAACCTATCTACGTGACTGTACCAAAAGACCCAAGAATATGAATTCCTGCAGTCACGAAAGCTTTAAGTCAACACTTGTATTCCACGTCTTAACTCTCCTCTGTAAGATGCGGATCCGCAATTGCTTTCACGACATTCGATCAGCTGCTTAGAAGAAAGTTTCCGGGTCTTTAGAAACCAGCGGGGTATCTGTAGATAGATGACCCTGTATTTTTTTGTTAGAAAACAGTTTGAATGTCGACGGCTGGCGAGTATTTTTTTTTATGGAACGAGATGAAGGTTTGTATCTGAACAGGACAACAGGCTGTCGTGTCAGTATTGGCCCTTATTCGGTAGTGTTAATGACGCTGCTGACAGTGAAGATCTAGCCGCCTCATTAATACGAAAACTAATTTATGCTCAAGCATGTTAGCGCTCCTTGCATCTCTATATATCACACCCGTCTGTTATCATTGGCGCAATCTCTCGCATTGCAAATGGTTTGCCATTAACTAGAATGGGTGAAATTACACGAATCACATTGCATATTGTTTGCCAAATTCTCGACAACATTTTGTTAATAAACAAACGAACAAATATATAACTGGCCATACATAACTGCATTTAGCAGATGTCCCCCTTGAAAAAAATAGATTTTTTTTATAATGGATTTATAATTTCGTTACACATGCAATGTTTTGGTTGAGCGTGCTCTAGGAGGGGTGGGGGGCAGTTTATTTGCCACACATTTCCGCAACGAATCAAACGCTGTAACCGAACGAACGAATGGATTCAAGGGGACTTTGAAGAGGCTAACGGAGGCGCTCCATTTGCGTCTCTCGGGCAGAATGCAAATGGAGTTTAAAGAGACGTGGCCGGGGGGGGGGGCGACGAGTTCGTCGTGACTGCGCGCTGTTCAACAGGAAACAACGAGACGCTATTTTTAAAATCGTTGCGTGTTTGTTTTGTACGCGCGCCACGAGGGAATGTCTCTGCCAAGGCCGGGGGAGTGGGTGGGTGGTGGTGGGTGTGGGGCTAGGGAGGCAAATACGCGCGGTGTCTGCGCCAATTAGCGCCGCGTCGCAAATTCATACGAGGCGCGCGGAATAGCACCATCACGGCAAGGCAGGCAGAGAAGAAAGTCGATTTCAGAATGTTGTTATTTCATTATTTGCATGCTTACATTTTTTTTATATAGCATTTATATAAAGTCATTGGTGTCCCTTGGAAAAGAGTGCCTGATGGACCTTGCTCACCACTCGTCTGATGCGCTGAGACCAGCTGCATATTCCACGAGGCTGTGTCAGAGCCAGTTCATCCTTGGGGGGGACCCAATCTCAACATCACTTGAAGCAGGAATACATCTACATTGGGCCCTGTTCATCTGTAAAAATCCGCCTTGGCAAATCTGCACTATACGAAGATAATTCACTTTCCCCATGTCAAAATCCAAGAAACCCAAGGCGTCCGTCCATCTTATTGACGTTCAAATATCCCTAGAACAGGTTTGGAATAGGTGACGAAGCCTTTGCCGTTTGTAGCACCAACGTTTTGAAACATCCTTGTTTCCTCCCTTGACATCGTAAATCTTCCTTCAAAACATATCCTGATGCAGAAAATGAGTGCTGGATACAGCCACATTTCCCAATGTGATTTGTAACTGTGATCCTTACCTGTGCATCGATACTTCAATTTTTAACGTGGCATTTTACAAAGGAACTGTGTGTTGGTTTCGTGTGGTCTGGGACTGTTTTTGTTGTTCTTTTGCTGCCTTGCCCAAGCTTGCATTTAGTGTAAAAAAAAATCAGACTGGTGCTATTATATATTTAGTGGCTTGCTTACATTTTTCTATTGGTACCCGATGGATGAAGGGCATTTAACACTGCTGTGCAGAATTTGAAACTCACAACATTTGAATTGTCAGTTAAGGACTCTGCTACAGGGCCACCTGGCTGAACAATATATAAACATCTTCTTGGTTCTTTCGGTAAAGTCACGTAGAAGGGAAATAATAAAATGATACAAATAAAACATAACAAAATACAATTCTCACGACGTTTCGGCCACAACGCAAGCAGCCGTCCTCAGGATGAAGAACAGGTCTGTCGGAACGACAGCGTCCGAATGTCTTTCCGACAGCCCTGTTCTTCACCTGAGGACGGCTGCTTGCGTTGTGGCCAAAACGTCGTGATAATTATTTTATTATGTTTTATTTTAATTCTTTTATTATTTCCCTTCTACGTGACTTTACCGAAAGAACCAAGAAGATGAATCCATGCTGTCACGAAAGCTTTAAATCGAAATTTAATACATAAACAAACAAAACAAATAACCTCTTCCTTCGTGTGGCTGCTGATGTCGATGCAGAGCATCAACTACAATTTCACATTCAAGTGGTCAAGCCAGACAAGCGCGTCAGAATGATTCACCCCCATAACTTCATGGAATTCTCACACCATCCTCAGTTGCTGAAAAAGTTATTCTGCCTAATTTATGCCACCGTTTTTGGTTCTATTCGCCAATATTGAACGGGTGGAGGCCCTTTGCTCAAAAGAAGCGTTACGACCACGAGAGTTTCCGACAGGAATTGGAGATGTATGTGTGCTGATGTCACCGCACTCGCCAAACCATCGGGACTGAACCGACGAATCAGACTCCATCTGTCTCTCTTTCACAAAGACAAATAACTGCCCTAGAGCCTTAACAGACTGTTGGGGCAAGTGCTGTTAGCGAGCAGCACCTATGAAAGCCGACATAGCACACGAGGGGGTGGGTGGCCAGCACCAGGCGAGGCCGCCTTTGTCTTCTGAGTGGCGATGTTTACACACCGCACCAGCTACTCATTTGAGGCTGAGTCGACCTAGGGGAAGCCTAGAACCGGTTCAAATAATCGTCATTGGTCTTGGCCGTGAGTGGAAATCGAACTCGGGTCGCCAGGTTCTTATCACAGCGTGATAACTGCGACACTACCGATGTGGTAACACACGGACACACACACACACATGTTTGATGTACGTGTGAGAGTTGCTCCACTCTTCTTTGAAGGTTGTTACATGTTTCCGATTTCTGTAAGAAATGAGACAATCGTCCTGCAAAAGGTGGCACGTTGATGGCTAAAAATGGCGACGTGGATTCAGGCCAAACTGTCTTCCTGCACAAACGGCCATTTCAAACAGCTGACCCACAGTCAGCTGTGGAAATTCTACATTCTATGACAGGGGCTAACGGAAGTCGTCTATTGTTGATGCTCCACATCGTGGTACTTATTTTTGTCGACTCCAGGGTGATGATGGAACGAGTGGATTCCAGACGAGGACACCCTGGTCACTTATAAATAAGACTATCCTGGCCTCTTCAGTTCTTACCTGGTTACACAAATAAACTTGAGTTGAACGTGCAACCTTACGATTGTAAGGTGGTCCTTCCAAGCGAAATTATTTGTATACAATGGACATTCAAAACATATCCTGGACTAAATATATAAAACACACAAACACTCACAAAGTACATTTTTAACTTGTCAGCCCTACAAATAATAATTGCTCTGCACTCAGGAAAGCCTTACTTGAGTCTCATGCTGTTCACAGGGGAGTTATTCTTTGAGATATTTTAAACGTTCCTGTTGTGGGGTATTTTGAGTGTGGGAGGAAACCAGACTGCCCATATATAACCCGTGCCTATGACGGGATAACGCTGTAACTCAGCACAGAAAGGTTAGCAACTTACTCACCGTACTGCATCCTACAGGCACCTCCTTTCCCTGCAGGTGGATGCGTCTTGGAGGCTCCGTCTCTGGTGAACTCCCGACCTTGCTTCCAAGCTCCTAGACGAGATGAGCATCTCCCCCAGTTGTGGTGCTGACCTATTGGGGCCCTAAGAAGACAAAAACAAATGTGTGGCTCTCATCCTTCAATGTGTGTAACTCCCAGGGAGATGACAGAAGAGATATATACATGTGTACCGAGATGATACAAATCTCGACAAATTATATATATATATAGATGTAGTGAATACCAGAATAGAGATGCAGACATGATATGACATTAATTTGTTTTTGTATGTTGATTAGCTTGTGCAAGTTTACTTGGATTATAATTTGAGCTGATGTTTGATGCACCCACATTTATTCACGAATCAGGCGGCCCTTGAGCAACTTGGGGCCCTGCGCCTTTTGCCCTGCAGCACCAACCCCAGATCACCAAACCTTTAGCTGCGAATCGATGGTTGTGGGCAACGCATTGAGTGCCGTGTTTCCATGACAAACTCGGAAGAGAGGTGGCTCAGTTCACCGACTGGCTCACCGTGGGTTCCCACGGCGGCCTTATCAGGCCAACGTGACATCCAAGCGGGCTCGGGTAGGTTGACACAGCGTGGGCTGGGCAGCTTTGCTTTCCATTCTGAGCCACGTGCTTTTTTTTGTTACCCCAAACTGCACTTGGAACCAATGCACCATGTCATGAGATCAACATGGAAACGGGATATGCAGTCAACGTAAAATCTCACTTTGCTAAATTTTTGGGGGTGGCTGTTTTTGTAATTAATAAATAAATATTGCAAATAATTACGAGAATAACGGACACGAGCTTAGTGAAGCCTAACCTAACCCATGTCTACGTTTATACTGGTTCTCTTTGGCAGCGGAGGGAGTGGTGGGTATGGAGGGGAGAGGGGAGGGAATGGAAGGGGTGGCGGGTATGGAGGTTGGAGGGAATGGAGGGGAGGGGGGATGGAGGGGAGGGGGGAGGGAATGGAGGGGAGGGGGGAGGGAATGGAAGGGAGGGGGGTGGCGGATATGGAGGGGAGGGGGGTGGGAATGGAGGGGAGGGGAGGGGGGAGGGAATGGAGGGGAGGGAGGTGGCGGTTATGGAGGGGAGGGGGGAGGGAATGGAGGGGGGAGGGAATGGAGAGGAGGGGGGATGGCGGGTAAGGAGGGGAGGGGGTGAAGCCCAAGGAGTTGCGTGGGACGCAGACCCATGCTACGGTGCTGATCCCAGAACGGCACCAGGGTCGTTCCTGGGCCACTGAGCCCGCTCGCCAGTGGCCGTGGAAACCTCGCACAAGGCCTGCAGACTGCGCCGCTCTGCAGCCCACAAGGCCCTTGTAGCCCTGCAGGCCACAGCTCTGATGCTGCACGCCACATGACTCCGACGCCTGCAGGATGCCTCGCAATGAATAGTTGCAGCTGTAAATGATGACTAATATATTATTGGCTGGGGTGAGGTGGGGGGGTTGGAGTACCTGCCTTGCTCCCCGTATATGCTCCACCACCTCTGCTGACAATGCAAGATTAATTGATGTGTACTTCAATCTGGAACTCCAATACAGTCCTCGTGTTAGCTCAGCATGACTTCCGTATGTATCTTTGGACGTATCTGCAAATTGAGCCCTCAGTCCTTTGTACGGCTTTGAAATAAAAAAATGCATTGCAAGTTGTCCATCCTCTGTTGATCATCTGTCTGTAACTGTGACACTTCACTTGACACATTTTGATTGTTTGCATCGTTTTCATTTTCATTTTGAAATTGCTTCATTACACTATCCGCATGGTCTCCACGTAATGTAAATGTGTCTATTGGCTTGGGACGAAGACGAAGAGACTGGATTGTGAAATTTCATGGGCAGGATATAGTTTAGGTAAACATGCACACACATAAAGTAGATGAAAAGACACTGCACATGCATGCACAAAGACCAATATCCCCCGTTTAACCTAAACAGACTTCTTGGGGCAAGTGCTGTTAGCGAACACCTATTAAGGCCGGCAATGTGCCACACCATGCCCGGCCACCGTTGTCTCCCCAGTTGCGATGTTTACACGTTGCACCAGGTACTTGTTTGAGGTTGAGTCAACCTACGGGAGGCCTAGGATCAGTTCAGATATAATCGTCACTGGTGTTGGCCGTGAGCGAGAATCGTACTCGGGTCGCTGGATGCATAGCGCAGTGCGCTCACCACTATGTTACCGACCTTCCTCCCCCTCCCCAACAATTCCACACACCATATAGCCATTATTACTGTCCTTTTGTGCGTGTTACAATCGTCCCGTACGGTATATAGAATAGCAATGCACTCCAACAATTACCTATCACGGTTTCATTACTCGTACTATACAGTCGTGTGATAATCCTCGTGTGGATGAATGTCTCCCCGTGTTATTAAGAGTAGTGGCTTTTTTTAGCACCGTGTTTCACTTACGCGGGTCGGCGTGGGTGGTTGAACGGGAGAGCTTGACCAGTTTAAATATCACTCACTGCCGTGGTCCCCAACAAATGTAGCTCAGGTGCACGGTGCAAGAACTCCTGTGCCACCCGCTCCACCCCGTGAAAGTAGCATGTATGAAGAAGTGTTTTAAAATTGGATTACAGAGTGACCGGAGATTATGGTGAAAGGTTAGATCGGGGTCTCTGAGTTAGACTTTACTTTGTTTTGATCAGTGATAGAGACGACCTTTTTATTTTTTTTACGCGTCCAGAACAAACTCTGCAATGGTTTAGGAAACGAGGGCTGTTGATTTAAGGGGATGTTTTGGGGATATTTAGAGACTTTCAGCCTTCAGGCGGTCCCGCAGTCAAAACGAGACTTTTCACGTCGGCCTCGGTAAAGCGAGGGCGCTGTAAATGAGTTACCCGTTATTGTTCGACTTGCATCCCACTGGGATGTTTTGCACACAGCGTCGATATGCGGTGTTTTTTTCTGGAAGACTTTGCTGTTTTCTCCTGGATTTTTCTGTTGCGTGTAGTCACTTTAAGATGTTCTTTGTTCACGTTTTTGTCTGTTGCGGTTGCATCCGAGTCAAGAGTCGCATGGCTCACAGGGCTATTCCTAATAAATTAAACTGAAAAAACTGCAAAACCCGTGACATCGTTCACCCATGCTGGGAGCGGAAGGAGGGCGGACGGTGAAGTCATACGCCCCCCGTTTCAGCTTCAGCAAGGTGTTGCACCTTGTCGGGGATAAACAACGTCCAAGAGTTGTAGATCTCATGCCACCTGACGACTCCGAGGTCTTTGAGAACACCAGGGACCAGAGGTGTGAACTCGAGTCATGTGACTTGGACTCGAGTCAGACTCGAGTCATGAATTTGATGACTTCAGACTCGACTTGGACTTGCATAACAATGACTTTGTCCCACCTCTGAGGTGTGGACTCGAGTCATGTGACTTGGACTCGAGTCAGACTCGAGTCATGAATTTGATGACTTCAGACTCGACTTGGACTTGCATAACAATGACTGTCCCACCTCTGCCAGGGACTGAGTTGACTCCAATGCAGTTGCTGCAATGCACGACAATTTCCTGTTGTATCTGTACGGAAAAAAGAAATAAACCAATGATTCTCAGCGTTTATGGAGGCATCTGATTGAATTAAAGACGTACAATTTTGACTGAAAAAAACTAGAGACAATCGTGCTTTTGTGAGCCAGTGTAGGGAACTTTATTAAGAAATACAGATAATGGAAAGGATTTTAAAGTCATCGAATAATCATTCCGCGCCACGCTGTAACACCGGTGCAGGCAGCTATTTGGCCCACGAAACACAACGCACTCCAGAAAACTATCGCGAATAATTCTCAGGACAGTCTGTCACCTCGGCCCTCGTGTGCTGTTTATCAGAATCAAAATCGTAATCTTGAAAACGCACGACGTATGATGTGTATATACTATATATCTTTCTCTATGAAAAATGGTTCCAAATCTTCTTTGGTAAAAAAAAAAGTGTTCACTTATTAATGGGCGTTTAACCGGTTACATTAATTAAATCAAATTAAGCTGAGATAAGATTACACATATTTCAGCAACGACACTTAAAATGTCCCATTCATTCAGCATAAGAACTGGATATCAGGCCATGAGAAGCAGCACACCGACACATGATTGTGAGAAAGCTTCACCACGAACCCACGGACAATTTATATTTATCGGTGTAACGGAATGACAGAGGCTTGCTCTGTGGGTCTCGATACTTCAAGTGCATTATTTAGGGCCCCATTTGTATTCCAGATCTTTTCAGCCCGCCACACACCTCCTGCTCCATACTATGTAGGCCAGACTCCAGTCTCAGGCCTTGTGAACTTAGTACTAAAGCGTGCCATGCCATTGACCCCTCAACCCCCCTCCCCCCCTCCCCCGTTTATCTCCCACTTTTTCTTGCCAAATCAACTCCATCTCGTTTCACCTCCCGTCATCCGCTCCTGAACATTATCTTGTGATGCCCATTGCATTTAGGGGTTGAACAAATAAAACATATATATGCAAATGTAAGAACATTGCCTGCCTTTATATAGTACTTAAAAAACAGACCACGTGACCTTATTAATGAAGCTTGTAGGGAAATTGTGAAAACTATGGACATTTTGTTGAATTTTGATCAAAAAATAAATAAGCGGTCACTTTGTTGCAACCATTAATATTAGATTGTACGGTGAAACTATACGTTAGTAGTGTGCACAACTCACGTTTAAACAAACAAAATAATCTGTGCTGACCAAATGTTATTCTTTTTTCCTTTCACAGGAAGCAGGACAGCGTTTACATTTCCAGGATGCCATTTGTTGAGCATCCGCTGATAATGCCCTTCTTATTGTGCAGAAGCCTTATGCGGGGGGCCTCACGTGTTAACGCTAAGCGAAATGGACCGCAGAGCATCGAACGCCTGCACGCTACGCTGACCATGTAACAACGGTGAGGCTGGCCGTCAGGAGACAGGTTTGTGTGCCTGGCCACCAGTCGGGGGCTGGTGCCAGAATGCGTCAACTTCAGCGTCAGGCGCTGTGTAGGATAAGATGCCTGTCTGCTTGCATGCACTTCCAGAGCCCGCACGCACACAGACGGTGCCCCCCACGCCCAAACACTCGTAGGTCAAAGTCACTCGTGGGTTTTCGCCGATGGCCAGGATCACCGGTGGTTTACGTTTCCTCACATTTATTACGTGTCTGTGTTTATACGCGTCTCTCCGCATCTGCATTTATTACGTGCGTCTGTTTACGTGCGTCTGAGAATTCACGTCCGCGTGGCTACTGGTAACCAGTGAGATGTCAAGATCGACCTTTTGTGGAGGAGGCTCGTGAAGGATGCCACCGAAAAATAAACAGTGCCTGCCCCGAGGCTAACAACAGGATCCGGAGGAGTGACACTCTGCAATGAGTTGAGAGTTCCAGGAAGCACACAGAGAGAGAGAGAGAAAGTAAAGGGGAATGGTGTAAATCTCAAGTTGATAACTTGGAATAGATATCTGTCAATCCAGCCTGTAAACGCATCATTCCCAAAGTGCGTTGCGCAACTTCTTATTCTCATTGTGGCCTCATGCAGACACCTTGGCTTGTGCAGGCACCTCAGTAATACCGCTGTATCTTAATTATTGTTTTCTAACGTCCACCATGTCTGTACCACACACACACACGCATGGCCAAATGTGATGCTGTATACTGCACACTGGCCCATATCCATGGTGGCTTGAATGCAGATAGAAAAGGAACTTGCTAAAAATAATAAATTACATAATCAAAGGTGCACAATTGTTTACAAGCCAACAGCAGCAGCCAACATCAGCATGTTGTAGTCCCTCCG